GAGGGGGTGCGGCCGGGCCTCTCACCCCGACACCCTCTCCCGCGTGACCTTCAGGTGACCTTCCGTGTGGCGGGGGTGGGGAGCCTGGCTGTACCTCCCGGCTGGCTTCCTGTCCCTGAGGGTGGGGGTTTCTCACCCTCCCCTGGGAGAGGCAGACAGGCGGCGTCTAGGTTCTCCAGGCAGGACTTGTGGGCTCCGGGGGCCAGATCCTGAGGTCTCCCCACCCCTATCCGGGACACGGAAGGCCTGGGCAAGGCCGTCCTCAGCCCCGATCCGAGGCCCAGACGAGGCGTGTCCACCCAGGCTCAGGCCAGGGGCCCTTTGCCCACAGAGCAGCATGGCCTCAGGCTCCGAGGACTCCCTGCCCTTGAGTGGAGTCTGGAGGCCTGGGAGGGGCGGGAGGCCCAGGTCCACTTCCTGCCTGGCTTCTCCAGCCCCCTGGGGATGCCTGGTGTTCATCACTTCGGGGTCCTTGTGGTCTGGGTGGCCTCGGGCCCACACCCACCCCAACGGATTGGTCACAGGGCTCTCAGTGTCAGCGTGCTTTCCTGGGAAGGGTGCGCTGTCCACCCGTCTGCCCAGCCTGGCGCTCCCTCCCAGCCCTCCCTGCCCCATCCGGGCCACCTGTCCCAGGCTAGAGGGACGGACACGGCACACGTGTGGGTGAGCCCTTTTCAAAGCCCAGGAAGCAGGCCCCCTCCCCGTCCTGCACCCGGCCCCAGCCCCTGCCTCTCAGCTGGAGGCTTCTCAGGGAGTGGCCATGGAGAGCCGGGGGCCAGGCCACAGGAAGGTCTGAGGCCCACAGGAGGCTTCTGAGAACTGGGCAGGGTCTGCCTGGGACCAGGTGGCCGAGCTGGACAGCGGGGCCACATCCCTGACGCAGCCTCGCGGTGTCTCCTCCAGGCCCGGATAATGCCCAGAGGTGAGCTGCGCTGAGCCAGTGATCCAGCCGCCCACCGGTCCCCCACACCCCACGCAGCTGCCGGCACCGCCCACCATGGAGTCCAGAGGGAAGTCGGCCAGCAGCCCCAAGCCCGACACCAAGGCGCCCCAGGCCACCGCCGAGGCCAAGGTCCTGCCGGCAGCCGACGGGAAGGGGCCGTCGACCAGAGCCTCAAAGAAGGAGGCCCCGGCAGAAAAGGAGCAACCGGCAGCCCCGCCGACCGCACCGGCCAGAAAGGCCAAGGCAGACCCTGCCCTCCTGAACAACCACAGCAACCTGAAGCCGGCCCCCACGGCCCCCGGCAGTCCCGACGCGACCCCCGAGGCCAAGGGTCCTGGGGACGGGGCGGAGGAGGGCGAGGCTGCCAACAGGGGCTCCCCGGGCCGCCGCCCCTGGCCCTTCGAGAACTTGAACCCTCTGCTGGTGGCTGGGGGTGTGGCTGTGGCAGCCGTGGCCCTGATTCTTGGTGTGGCCTTCCTGGCACGGAAAAAATAATGCCTGGGGCCCGGTGGGGGCAGGGGGCCAGGCCCTGTGCAGACCCCAGGGAGCGAGTGCATGCAGTCCCCCATCCACCCCCGCTGCGCACACCATACGTGTACACACATGTGCCCACCCAGCAGCCCCACCCCCAGGGCGGAGGGCGCGACCTCTGTGGCCCATCTGGCCGGCCGTGTCAGTGGAAGCCGCTCATGCGTGCCTGTTCCCAGAGGCTCGCGAGCCCGTGGCGCCCAGGGCTGGCCTCTGATGTGCGGGTGGGGGACCGGGACGGGCCCTGGCTTGGCCCTCCCTGCGGGTGCGTTAAAGGGCAAGCTTGCTCCACTCTCCCCATTTCTGCTCTTTGCGTGTCCCCGGGCCAGCGGTGGCCGTGGAGGTGGAGCCTGGGGCTGTGGGGGAGGGGTTCCCAAGCATGGTGGCTTCCCCGCTCCAGGGGAGGCTTAGGCTGGCAGGGAGGTGGGGCATGACCAGGCCGCCCCACGGCCGTGCTGCCCAGGCCCCATAGACATCCCCCCCCCCCGCTTGTGCCTCCCCGAGTCTAACCAGCGTATAAATGCAATAACAGTTGGTAGTGTAGGGCTGCTTGGCAGAGACCGCGCAGTGGCCCATGGTTCCGTCGCGCCCAGGGAGACCCAAGGTGTGTTCCCCCCACCCCCGGTGGCTGGTCCCCCTTGGCCTTGGCCGGCGGCAGCGGGCACTGCAGACGGGACCTGCCCTCACCTGGCCAGTAGCCACGGGACCCTGCGGGGTTGCGTCTGAAATAAACCCTGTTGTCTAAAGGCTGGGCTTGTGTCCTCACCTGCACACGGGTGGCAGAGGCCGGGCGTCCCACCTGGGACTGGCGATCACAGGTCACCCTGGGTTCTCCAGGGAGGGGGGAAGGAGCCCGGGCCCTCTGCCGTCTCCAGGCCCGCGATCCTGGCAGATCCACCCACAGCCCCGCCTGGGCCCCCATCCCAGGTGCTGCCTCCCTGACCTTCTGGAGCCCTGACTCCAGGTGGACACCCGGGGCAGTGAGGATCCAGGCCGGGGGAGGGCAGCCCTGGGCTCCCGGCGGCTCCATCCCGCTGCAGGAGTCCCGTCCCAACGGCAGGGAAGCTGGGGGGCTCTTCCTCTGCTTGGCTCTCGTGTGGCTCCCCAGCTCTCTGAGTGGGTGTCCCGTGCGGGCGACCACAGGAGGCTGGGAGTGCTGCTTCTAGCCTGCCGTCCGACTGCCCACCTCACCCTCGGGCAGAGGCTGGCAGGTGAGAGCTTGCTGACCATCTCTGCCAGGGCTCCTCCTGCCGCCACAAGGGGACATGGCCGCCTCTCCCTTCTGGCCCTTCCCGGGGAGGCAGCCCTGACCACACATGCACAGCCCAAGCCTGGACAGCTGCAGGCACCCCTGCTGTTCTGACCCAGGTGTCCCCTGCAGCGCCCCCGGGCCCCCATAAGTCCAGGAAGCCACCTCCCGTGAGCACAGAGCCACCTGCCCCGGGGCGCCAAGACTGCCTCTGCCATGGACACTCGGTCCTGTCCCGCCCTCCAGCCATCTCCACGCCTCCGCCCGTGGCTCTCACCCTAAAGCCAACAGGCCACCCACCCTTCCCACACTCTGGTGGCCACGGGGAGGCAAGGAGGGACTGGAGCTGGGTCACCATCTGGAGCCCAGTCCCGGGCTCGGCCCTCGGATGCAGGGACATTCCAGCGGCATCGACATACTTGTCCCTGCTCCAGGGCCTTGGGGCTTCTGCAATCTTTGCAACTTTAGACAAAGCAGGAACCCAAACCCTTGTGAAGCCTCAGCTGAGATGCTTGACGGAGGCTCAGTCTCCACGATGGAGGTTTTGTAAGGGAGGCAAAACCTTGACCATCGAGGTTTCGTGAACATTTCTAGGGCTCGACCAGGAGAAACCCCAGCTCGACACACAGCGTCTGTTCCCAAGAGGTCCTGGGGGGCCACAATTCCCAGCCTCCTGGAGGGGAGGCTTGAAGGCAGGCCAGGCGGGCCGGGAGGCAGCTGCAGCCCTGTGCCCGGCGTGTCTACAGCTCACACCAAGTGCGGCCTGCCCAGATGCCTCTGGGTGGGTATTGCCCCGGCTGGAGTACAGGGGCACCATCATAGCTCATTGCAGCCTCAACCTCCTGGGCTCAAGGGATCCTGTCTTCTCAACCTCCCAAGTAGCTGGGACTACAGGTGCACCCCAGCACGCCTGTCCACGATTTTTCATTTTGCCCAGACTGGTCTCGAACACCTGACCTCAAGTGATTCTCCTGCCTTGGCCACCCAAGGTGCTGGGATTACAGGCCCGAGCCGCTGTGCCTGGCTCTGACATGTCCCTTCCAGAAGGCTCTTAGCCAGAAAAGTCTCACCACTTGTGGTTTTTCCTCTTCTGCTGGCTGGACACCTTCTTCTCGTCGGCCTGTCAGATTTTTCTTTTTGAGCTGGAGTCTCACTCTGTTGCTCACACTGGAGTGCAGTGGCCGCTCCCAGCCACCGCAGCCTCAACCTGCTGGGCTCCGTCGATCCTTCCGCCTCAGCCTTCCGAGTAGCTGGAATTACAGGCGCGCGCTAACCACATCCGGCTAATTTTTTTTTTTTATCGTAGAGACGAGGTCTCACCAAGTTGCCCAGGCGGGTCTCGAACCCGCGGGCTCAGGCAATTCACTCACCTCAGCCTCCCAAAGCGCGGGATTATAGGCTGAGCCACCGAGCCCGGCCAGATTTTTCTTTTTTTTAGTTGGAGTCTCACTCTATTGCCCAGGCTGGGATGCAGTGGCACTTTCATAGCCACGGCACCCTCAACCTGCCAGGCTCAGGCAATCCTTCCGCCTCAGCCTTCCAAGTAGCTGGAACTACAGGTGCATACAACCACACCCGACAAAATTTTTTTATTTATTGTAGAGACGAGGTTTCGCCAAGTTGTCCAGGCTGGTCTCAAACCCCTGGGCTCAGGCAGTCCTCTCGCTTTGGACTCCCAAAGTGCAGGGATTACAGGCGAGAGCCACTGCACCCAGCCTAGTCAGTCGGATTTCCTTCTGCAGTCTCATGCCAAGCCTTTGTCGCTCCCACGCACCCAGCTGTCTTCCCAGCAGCGGCCACTTGCGGGTCACCGTTCCCGGAGCACAGATGTCCCGCAGCCCGAGTCTGCCGGGCACACCGGGGCTTTGCTGTGAGACAGGCCAGGGCCTTTGTCAGGCGGCCTGAGGGCCCCAAGCCAGGGAGGGGATGTTCCTGTCCCCATCGCAGCCTCACCGGCTCTGAGCCACACCTGCCTGCTGAGTCGGAGCCCCTGGCGTGGCCATTTCCCTCGGCAGCCACCCCTCCTTGGTTTCCCACTTTTCAGCAGCTGCAAGGTCACCGTTCCCTTCCAGGGGACTCAGATGGCGGCTGAGGCCCCTGAAGGCCCTTCCAAAGGCAAACAAAGCCTCGGGGACACCAGGGCTGACTGAAGTCATTTTATTGCAGACCGCTTCCAGGGTCTAGACAAACACCAGACACGGAGCGTGCACACAAAACTCGCAGGGGGCCAAAGCACGGAGCCAGAGAAGCAGGGAAACCCAGGGGGGCAGTGTCATCCTGGGGACGGGTGACTGGGCGGCTGCTGTCCGAGGGAGGCCCCCCAGCTCCCAGCCCCGGCGCCACATCTCAGGCCCTGAGCTGGGAGCCGGCGGCAGGGCTGCAGCACAGGAGCGGGCCGGTGCCCCCGCCCCAAGGGCTTGCGGCTCCTTCCCTGGGAGCCCCACCCCGGGGTGCCTCTTGGCTCCCTGATCGCCCCGCTTCCCCACACCTGGGTCTTCAGCATCCCCCCCCCCGGTCCCAGGACCGGGCGGGCAGAGACCCCTCCTGCATGTCCGATGTTCCCAGAAAGGGGGCACAGTCGGCTCCTGCTATCCGAGGACTCAACCAGCCATGGATCGAGATGTGAAAAAAACAAGAGCGGCCAGGCTCAGTGGCTCAGCCTGTCATCCCAGCACTTTGGGGGGCTGAGGCGAGTGGACTGCCCGAGCCCGCAGGTTCGAGACCATGTCCCTACAATAAAATAAAAACCAGCTGGGCATGGTAGCACGCGTCCGTAGTTCCAGCTATTGGAAGGCCGAGGCAGAAGGATCACCGGAGCCCAGCGGGTCGAGGCTGCAGTGACCGTGAGCATGCCACTGCACTCCAGCCTGGGCAACCGAGACGCCGACTCAAAAAACACACACAAGAGAAAAAAGAAAAAAAGAAGAGTGACCATGCTGAGGTTTCCTCTTGTCGTCCTCTGTGCAACACCACACTCCTCACGCAGCGCTGCCTCGCATCAGGTGTTGTAAGCAACCCAGCGCTGACTTGCTGCGCAGGACACGTGGGAGCTGTCTGCAAATCCCATGCCGTGTCATGTCAGGGGCTGGTGTGTCTGTGGAAGTCGGTGTGGGGAAGGTCCTGGAACCAAGCCCCATGGACACTGAGGGATGCCTGGGGGGACAGGGCTGCACGCAGGCTTCGAGGGAAGGCCCGGAGCTTGATGGGTGGGGAGAGAAGGGGCAGGTGCACAGGTGCCGAGCTCAGGTGTGCTCCAGAGGAGGACTCGCCACGACGGGCAGCAGGGTGACCGGGCCAGCCCTGCAGGGAGAGGCCCCAGAACGGCCCATCCGTGGAGCCCAGCACACAAGACAGGATGTGGGACCAAACCTTCCCATGGGTGCACGACACACCCTGGGAACCTCCCTGGTGTCTCAGGGTCTCCAAAGGCGAAACCCCAGGTTCAAGGGCATTGTCACACGCTCTGGCAGGGCTCCTGGTGCCCAGCCCCTCCACTCACCCTCCGCTGCACTGGAGACCTGAACTGCCGGATCATCCCGGGCAGGGGAGCCCCACGCAGGACCTCAGGTCTGCCCCTGATTAAGGACCTTGGAGGGGGCTCAGCAGGGCGGGATGGGGGGCAGCCCCACGACGGGGCCACGGACCTGTGTCACGAGATCCCTCAGCCCCAGGCCTGCGGCCCTTCCCAGAAGACCCTGCCCGGGACAGGCCAGTGACGGCAGACCCGTCTGGTCCCCGTGAAGCCCCGCTGTGCCAACGGCCCACCGACCCGGCCGGGAGCATCCTGGGCTGGCCTCCTCCAGCCCAGATGGGGGGTGCCACAAGGAGGGGCAGCTGTGCTAGCATCCTGGGCGGCGCGGAGCCGGGGGCTGCGGCTCAGCGGCAGGAGGGGCACCCGCACGCCTGGGCTCGGCGAGTCCCGGCCACAGCCTCGGGGGCATCCGTACCGCGCGACATGAGGAAGCAGGGCGCCACGTCAGACCCCAGCTGTGGCTCCTGGCCAGCTCTGCCCTCGGCCGCGGCTGGGCGCCCT